ACATTCGACTTCTATAAGCTGTTGAACAATTATATTGTGGTTAATATTTACAGTAAGCCTTCGATCAATTATGACCAATTGGCCCATCTCTAAGCCAATAATATATCATTAAGAAATATTCAACCATATCGAAAAATATTTTTAAATGAATTAATCTTTTTCAATTTTTTTAGATTAATTTTTAGAAGGATTTCATCGAAATTCATTTCATGTAATCATATATAGTATTTCGTCTTAGCTGCGTGTGTGTGTGTGTTTGCGTGCGTGTATGTGCGTGTGTGGTGTGTGGTCAGCCAGTACAAAATGGTCAGTTCAAACCTAACAGGATTTCACCGGACTAATTAAGCTCCGAGATTTGTCTGTTGTGTGTATGGTTATCATCACAATGAATAAGCTCCTACACAATTATTTCATTCAATGTAAACAAGTTTATAGAAGATGTGGAAGATGTATATTATTAAATATTTGTTTCGCAATTAATTCTGCTAATTTATCTCTTCTTCAGGTTATAATATGATAGTTTAAATAATACTATTGAAGTTATATAATGTTATATGTAATATATGCCGTGCAATATATAATGATACACACTACACACACACAAACACATTCACACAAACACATTCACACACACCCACACACACACACACACCCACACACACACACACACACACACACACACACACACATGAACAACATAAAACAGACGAACGTACGTGCTCTGCTACGTAGTTCCCGGCGTGAAACTATCACTTTATGACACAACACCAATAACTTAACCTTCCAAACAAGTATTAGTTGGTGGTATTTGTGCATAAACATTATTTTAATTTGGTATTACACCTATACCAATTTCATTGAGAATATCTAAAAAATACAAATTGAATAGCAAACTTCATCTTACCTACAGAAAGTTTTGTATAGTTATGTAGTTCTAGAAAGTGGTTGCTAAATGTATTTAACTAATTTTATGAATGTATTATTAATATTATTAGTCTATTGTTGTAATTTTTTGTTTGATTTTCGTCATGGTGGTCTTCGTAAGTGCTTTTGTTACTTTTTTGATCTCCTTACTTTTTTTTGTCAAAAAAATTTGGAAGAAAAAAAAATGTATGTATGTATGTATGTATGTATGTATGTATGTATGTATGTCTTATTATGTATGTATGGATGTAGGTATGAATCCATAATTGATTAGAACTGTAGGGAAGTAATAATCATATCCGGGTTCAGCTTTAATCTATGTTAAACGCATCGCACAGACAGGTATTTTAACGCTCCATCCAAAATACAGAAAGAATTATATTTTTGAAGTAAAATAGAAAAGGATTGCTTTACATTACTCTTATCTAATGGGTCACCCGATACTTCTACAATCCTACTACAGAGTTCATTCAGAAAACTCTGAGTCTGAGCATCGGTCAGACCAAAGGTCTCAATGCAGACTGGCTGAAAAATTTTGCTTTCTGCAAGAGCCGCATATTTTGAATTTTTAAATGGATGTAGGTATGTATGTATGTATTATTATGTATGTATGTATGTATGTATGTATGTATGGATGTAGGTGAGTGTGTATGTGTGCCTGTATAAACGTATGTGTGTATGTGAAAATATAATTTAAACCATCATCATTAAATTATTTTCTATTTGAAAGTTAATAGCTCATCACAAGTGAAGTGCGTATTGGCGTGTATTTTGAGAGATTATACCTATACCTGAGGTATTTTAATGGTATTATTTTGTTTAACGCTGGATAAATCAAACCTTGCGTAACATTACATTTCGCTGTGGATTTGTTTGATCGCACAGCTACCAATGTTATCTGTGTTATAACTTATGTATGATCACACGTTCACACAAACACACATGCCAACGCAGACACACACTTCAACACACACACATACTCACACATACATACACACACACATACATACACACAAACACATACATACATACACACAAACAAACTTTTGTATACATTTGATTGTATATGTTTGTTTTCATTCGGGTATTCGCAATGTAAACAGTGAAATGACTTCATTGAACCCATTGATAAAGCATTCATTCGTTCGTTCGTTCGTTCATTCATTCATTCATTCATTCATTCGTTCATTCATTCATTCATTTTTTCTTCCATTCCCTGGTGGATAGATTAAAAGGAAAGCTTGATGATGACGATGATGATGAATGAATGAATGAGAAAAAATAATGATAATAATAATGATGATGAAGATGATGGCGACGATGTCTGCAAAAAACAATAACGATGTTGTATGTATTTGTGATAACATTTGTGGTGACGACATAATTCATATTATTATGACATAATTCATATTATTATGACATAATTCATATTATTATGACATAATTCATATTATTATGACATAATTGATAATATGTTCATCAAAATATATTTTATATATAATTAACTTATAAATTTGAAAAAAAGATAGAAAGAGAGAGAATGAGAGAGAGAGCGAGAGAGAGAAAGAGAAAGAGAGAGAGAGAGAGAGAGAGAGAGAGATAGAACGTCTGTGATGTTTAATGAACGATCTTACTTATTTGTAGTGACACGAATGCGAGAGGACTATGATGATGAAGACGACGACGACGATAATGTTGATGATGATGGTTTAGACACAAGCACACACACACGCACATACACGCACACACGCACGCACACGCACACGCACAAGCACGCACACGCACACAAAACACACATGCATTCAATCTGTGACGTAATTATATTAATTCCGTCTGCAAGGCATACCAGTGGCCAAGAGTGTCGCCGTGCCAATGATAAGAAAATAAGAGGTGATAACGTTAATGTGATAACGTTAATTAATGTCTGATGATGACGACGACGATGATGATGATAGTAATGGTGATGACGATAGTAGTGATGAAAATAACGATGATAATAATGATGATGAGGATAATGATGATAGTGATTATGGTGGTTGCGATGTTGAGATGATGATGGTGATTGAAAGAGTGGGAATTAATGCTTCTAGCCGCGAATGATTTGGTTTACATTTTTAACGTGCGCTACAGAAAGTATCCCCTGATATGAAAATAAAATTATTCATATATATTAATGAAATTATCAATAAAAATGATTATTCTTACAGCATACATAAGAATGGTTTTTTGTTTAGAAACGTTGTCAGGTCTCATAATTTACCTAACTGTTATAATCTTATAAACGATTATGCTAATGGAACGACGATTTCATTTTATTTAGTTATTTTCTAAATTGGTTCTATTTAAATTTGAAGGCACCTAGGAGGTACCATTTATTTATTGCCAAAGATGCACCTAATTTCATTTTTTAAGAAATAAAAGCTTGAAAAATTTATTTTATAGAGCGTATAGAGTAATAAGGTAAACTACTACTTGTATTTTGAGGGAGAGAAAGATAGAAAAAGAGAGAGAGAGAGAGAGAGAGAGAACAAAATGGAGAGGTATTTAAAATAAGTAATGAGAAGATAGATAAAGATGACGTTTAGATATATTTTTGTTAGATTCTACTGTATACTTCTAGCCTATTTAGATTAAAAAAATACTTGTCTATCTTTTTCTAATAGACACAAATGTTGTAAAAACGTATACATGAAGTTAGAGATAATATTTTACATCTATCTACACAAATTTAAAATAAATGCGCGACAATAACATCACAACAGGTCTTAAAATATCATGCAAATTAGGAACTAAGGCGTTCCAGCTTTAACGTCACTAGCCAGGTTAGGTTATATTTGGTGCTTGGCCAGACTGCACTCAAATGTAATTTGTTTGAGGTGAAATGGTACTTGAGCAATGAAGCATAAAAAGGGGCGAAATAGGCCATCGTCGGTCCTCTCATTAACATAAATTATTCATTTATTACAAGTGTGGTGGATGATTTTTGGATTGTTTTACGATCTGACGTGCATTCATAAGAGCACGTGAATGCTATTTAGTTATTGGAATATATTATTATTATTGCAGGGTCAGCATATAGACGCCTATTCTAACAAAATCGGGTGTTAGTGTCGGAGTATTCTTCCATTCTTACATTATCTCATTCGATTATTTAATTATTGGAACGATCTACCAATGCGACTGAAAAAAATCGCTCCAGTAAAAAAATTCAAACAGAAACTGAAGATGCACTGGTTGAATAAAGCATTTAATTCGTAACCTCTGAAGAATATCTAAGAGATAAGAGATTATCTAAGAGATATTAAAATACATAGTAGTGGTGATTATTTTTAACTTCGGGCAATTTGAATATTTCTGTTGATTGGATATTTACATACAAAGTGTAGTTTCAATATCATTTGAAGGGTACTAAATAACAAAAGTTGATCATCCGCGGGACTTCTTAACGACCATGAAACATGTGGGACTTGTAATCCATGTTCATATCTTGGCTCCACTGCAGAAATACATCGAATTAAATTAATTATAACCTAGTGAATGAGCGAAAATTTTGTATTGAAGTAAAAATGAATTTATCGTGTTTGTTCAATTCATACAATAACTCAGTAAGAAGTTGAACATTATAAATGATAGCTGAATCTATCTGCAGAACGAATATAAAGAAGACGTTTCCAGCTAGCGAATAATAAATAAATATAAAATGAACTCCAACGCCAATTGGGTTTAATTATGATATAATATTATCTTGATATTTATATTCATATTATCATCATATTGATGGTAGATCTGATGTATATATTTTTCAATTTAATACCTTTAATATTTTGTAGTATCAACTGAACTAACTAATGAAAGAATACAAAATTTTATTCATATCTCAAAATTAACAGAAAAATTTGAAAATAAGGCCATGGGAAATTCGTCAAGAGCACCTACCCAAAATCGGATTTGGGAAAACCCATTTAAACAATGTTTAAAGATGCAATTATTCAAATTTTCTAAATAAGAATTATTAAAAAGTCATCAACTTTTGAATTTTTAAAATCATCCCTCTTTACTTGACGCGAAACTCTTGGTCAACCACTGGACAATAAACTCTTTGTAATGAGGGAACCAGCAGCGCACAGCTTACAGCAATGCTTTGCGTATGTTTGGTGTTTACAGTGAACGGAATTTTCCTTAGAACATTCAAGTGACTTTCGGTTAAATTCAACCGGACCTGCAATGTCTCCGTAAGGACAATCGGGATTTCCTGGAATTATGATCAAATTGGGTTCATGATTGCTATTTTTAGTGCTATTATTTATTTTTCTTATAACGAGGAAGAGTGTTAATTTGTAGTGTTAGATATTTGGTTAAGACAGTTTTTACTTAAAAATTAATTGATAATATTTTGAAATAATTTGATATATCTAATTGGACTGTTTTGTAAATAAATTTATTTTGCAAAAAATGTCAAATTTTGTAAAGTCAAATTTGATTTGTGAATTGAAGTCAAATTCTTAATCGAATTTTGGAAATGAATGGAAACAGACCTGCATCTTTGGCATCAGCGCAGGTCTGACAGCATTTATCCGCATACTTTTCATTGTAGCAGAAGCCACTCATATTCATGGAGCACCGGAAAGATTCATTTCTGTATTCTAACAGGTCTTCTAGTTTGTCGCCGTACCAACAGTTCTCTGTGAATACGTTTGTAATAATTGTATTAAATAATAATTCTACAAACTTTTGATGGAAAACTTATGCAAAAATGTGTTTTTTCAGAAAGAAAAAGAGAGAGAAAGAGAGAAAGAAAGAGAGAAAAAGAGAGAATAATTTAACAGACCGCTGCATGATAATTAGTGCTTCCTGATAACACGAGATTTACATCTAGATGTTTACGTAGTGAATATTGTTAAATTGAAAGGAAAAATGCTATTAAAACCTGGTCTTGAAATATTTTTAGCCGCTGCACACGTTTGGCAGCAGCGCCTCTGATATTCTCCAATATAACAAAGCCGACTATTCAACATGGAGCATTCGTAATATTTCTGATAATCTCTTACAAACACTTCTGGCTCGTCCCCGTATAGACAGGATTCTTTTCAAAGTACATTATTTTTTAATCGAATTTATTGAAATTCTCAAATAAATTTAATGTTTTCGTCTAACCTTTATCGTTTTCAGTTAGAGAATCATTCAAGCATTGACCGTTCTGACAACTTTTGTGCGCTCCACAGGTTGTGTTCGGGTAGGCAAGGTACACGTAGTTTGTTTTATTATAAAACCGACATGTCAACTCGTTACACACATTCTTATCACTCTGGTGTTAGTTAATAAAATATAATCACTGAAACGGCTGAAATTAATTACAATAAAACCATGATGGTGAATCAGTGGACGTAAAAAGTTACAAAGCCACACAATAACTTCGAATTGGTTTTAAAGCAACGAATGATTTCCCTATGCATCTTGGTAGTTATAAGTAGCGATAAGTTTTTAGTTAATAAAACAAAATTACAACTTACATAATGATAATAATAGGAGTACGAGCCAAAAATCAATTTGCACTGCACGTTTGGATCTAGAACTCTGCCTGGAGACGTCATTATAGCCTCGGGGAAAGGATTTCTAGATGCAGGATTAACGCTTCTCAGCAAGCAGTTTCTGTTTCAAAGTTTGAAAATATAGTCCATTATTGAAATGAAAAATTTTTTACAGCACTATAACCAATTTTTAAAATGTATCAAACAACATCTCTCGTAATATTTATAGCGGGGTGACTAACTTTTTCAATGAATCAAAAAAATCTTTGAAATTTTTTTTGGAGCAGGATGAAAATTTTTTTATAGCGTTTTTATCGCTATACTTGGCAGCCATGACGTAAGAATCTTCCGCTAAACAATTGTTGCCCTTCAGGCCGTCATGAGAAGCTCCGAATCTGGAAAACAAAATTGAACATTCTGCAAAAACGACAATTGATGGCAGTAGTTTCAAGAAATAAAGGCATGTAGGCATGTAGGCATGTAGGTATGTGGGCGTGTGGGCATGTAGGTATGTGGGCGTGTAAGTATGTGGGTGTGTGGGCGTGTGGGCAGGGAGGCATTCACCAGTTATTATCCTATTGAATTCCTGAAAACAAGAAAGATGCAAGAAACAGTAGAAAATTAAAAATATAATTGCGGATAAATTTTTGCTTAAAGTTGAAAATTTTTTTTAGATTGATTATCTTTGCAGCGTATTAAAGTTTAACAAAATGAGATTTTACTATATTACCTGAACATATGTTCAACAAAATAATTGTACAAGCTAGAAATAAAATTGACAATCAAAAATTAGGGAGTTTAAAAAAAGTAAAAAAATATTTGAAGATTACTAACACGTGTGCCAGTTCGTGGCTGAGAACATATGCATTTTTAATTATATTAGACATTCTCACAATTGTAACTGGTTTAATTTTTTTGCAAGCTGAGTGGGTTACCGCCAAGCCGTCCACCGAACCGTTCAGCAACAAAGTTTCACTTGAGTTTTTGAGTTAACATATGTTTGAAATATAATTTCAAAATTTAATTTTTTCAGAAAAAAATCTACATCTGGTGTATAATTTATGTTAATATTATGATAAACGTATTTTGAAACAATTTTTGAACAAAACAATTGTTACTTGGTAAAAAAGACGAAAACGTTGAAGTTTTCAAAGTTCGCTTCTATGATATTCACCCAATCCTCTAATGAGCTAATAAGTTGATCCAGAACTTTAGATTTAATGCTGTTTGTGCGGTACCCAGAAATATTCAAGCTTTCGGATGACTGTGTGAATAATATTATTAAAAATCAATATATAGATAATTTTGAAAATCGCAGAAACCTAAATATTTTTAAAATAAAATTTTCGCTAATTTATTGTTTCAAGAGCATCATGTTACAGATTGCTTAATTTTACATTGTATACACTAAAATAGATATATACAGCAAGAGTCAAACACTTTGTCATCCAATGTTTTTAAAAGCAGCAAAGACACTGATGAATATTTCAAATTAAATTTTTGCAAACAAACAAAAAAAAATCACTTCTAATACAGTTAAATTTTCAAAAGCATCATTTAACCCACCTCCGCAATGTAAAGGTCTGCAAGGTTGATTTCAATCTTGTACGATGGCTCGTCTATTGTTGAAAATATCTTGTTCGCCTGAACGAGTGGTGATAATTTGTACGCAAGTCAGTAATCTTTTGATTATTTTTATTACATTCACTCATTTTACCTCAGATGTGACGTGAGAAAAATATGACTTCAGATAGTTCAATGCTTTTCCTCTATCACCCACCACTTCCAACCACCTTGTAGAAAAGACAAACTTGTTGTTTTAAGATCATATTATCAACGTTTTAGTCTAATTTTTTGAGCGTGTAATAGTTTTTTTTACATAAATGATAAATAGTTTGTAGAATAATTCACGATTTTGAATGTCTAGAATCAATATCTCGGATCTGATCTGATCTGACGCACACTTACACACACACACACACACACACACACACACTTACACACAAACACATACACACACAAACACACCACACACAGACACTTACAAACCACACACACCACACTCACACACACAAACCACCACTCAACCTACCTGCTGTAAACTGTGTAATCGGCGTAAATTAGAAGATTTACGACGATATCCCTTTGATCAGTTCTGTTATCAGACCTGTTAAGATGACCTGCTGCTGAATCACCTGAGAATTACAACAAAAGTTAACTGACGATTTTTTTTAAATTTATCATAATATTAACCCCATAACTATAGCTGTGTTGATTGTAACTTAAATGAATGTAAATATATATATATATATATATATATATATATATATATATATATATATATAATATGTATATATATATATGTATTTATATATATGTATCAATATTATATGAACGGCTGGATAGTGTAATGGTTGAATGCTTGCACTCGTTGTTGCAATGACTGGATTCAAACGCGTGGTCTTCTACTATCCCATGTGCGTCTCTTTATGTAATTGTGTGTGTTTGTTTGTGTTTGTGTGTGTATGTGTGTGTTATGTGTGTGGTATGTGTGCGTGGTGTGTTTGCGTGGTATATGTGTGTGTAAGTATGTGTGTGTTTATACCTTGGTAAAATGTAAATTGTAAACGCAAATTCACACATTAATCTGATACATAAACATTTCGCAATTTAAAAAAAGACATTAAATAAATATTTATTTTTTATTAAAGAAACTGAATTTGAATCAGGCAATAAATTAAGTTTTTTTTTTCAAAAACCTTCCAAAATTATGGCTGCCTGATTGTTGGCGAACATCACGAAGCCTAAAAACAGCCCCACATTGCATGCAGATGACATCATAAATTATTTGAATTTCAATAAAAATAATTAATATTTAAATATAATTAGCTAATACTTATATAAAAGTTTATGGTAAATTTTTAAAAATTTCTCCGATGCGTTAAAAGGTCTGGATCTGGAGAACTTTATATCCAACAAAATGTTGAATAATAATCATACCAATTAATGAGTCATTTCAAAGGCAATTTAAACTCACTTTACATTTTCAAAGAATATTCCAATGACAAAATACTTCCATATAAATTAATTTCATTTTAAAACATAATTCCAATGACGAAATACATCCAAATGAATGACATACTTATTAATCATTATGTGTATAATTAAATTTTAACGACTTCAAATGTAAGTCTCACTTAAAAATTGCATTCTCGATAAGCTCAGGCCGTAATTGACCGCTAACTTATTTGTCACAAACATTTCATTATTTCACTGTAGAATGTCATTATTTTTTGAAGTAGTAGTAGTGGTAGCAGCAGCAGAAGCAATAGTAGTAGTAGTAATAGTAGAACTATTAGCAGTAGTAATAGTAGTTGCGACAACAGTAGTAGTTGAAGCAACAGTACTAATTGTAATAGTATTAGTAGTAGTAGTTGATGTAGCAGCAGTAGTAGTAGAGTAGTAGTAGAAGCTGCAGCAGTAGTAATATTTACCTTATAATTTTCAATTCAATCATCATAATTGTCAAAGCTCCATTTCTCTATTAGGAAACAATTAAATTTCAGTCATAATTCAGCGCTGATTCATTTAATACGTCATTTTATTAACTTCCTTTCAGTTTAAATTGCTTATAAACTGTTATTTGTACTATCATTATCACCGTCATCACCATTAACCATCATCGTCATCATCGTCATCACCATTTAGCAAAATTGTTAAAAGAGTAGAAGACAAATCAACTGATCATTGGGGAAATCATTAGAAAGTTTTGGAAAAAAGCTCTCTAAAGAATTTAAATTGTTGCACAAAATTACGGCCTTATTGCCAAATATATTTGAAGTTTTCGTTGAAAATAAAAATTGACTTAGAGGTGGTTGGTGCAATGGTCAAGGCGCTTGCTTATGCTTTCGCAGTTACTAGGTTCGATTTCAGAGTGATGAACGGATTCAGGCGTGTTTGTATAAGTCGTGTGTGTGTGTATGTGTATGTGTGTAAATATGGTGTGCGTGCGTGTGTGAGTGTGTTGCTGGTAAATCAGGAAATTGAATTCTTTAAAAGAGAGTTAACAATGAATAACTAAGATTTTCATATTAAGGGCACGCCAAACTTGGAAAGTATTTGAAAAAATAATTTCAAAAAATCTGTCTTTAAAAAATTATGCATATCTGTAAAGAATGACTTGTAAATTTAGCGAACAATTTTGTTGCTATAAACAAGAAATGAAGTTTTTTAATTTAAGATAAATACATGTCAATGTTTTTATGATTATGTTAGTGTATGGGATGTGTTTGTTTGCATATCTGTGTCTTTGTACCAGTGTGTGTACTGCTGAAAAATTTGACTTAAAAATTTCACATACCTCGGAAACATTCCTAATTTATACACGACTCTAAGGTGTGTATAAGGTGTGAACATTCCTAATTTATACACGACTCTAAGGTGTGTATAATTAGATTTACACGACTCATTTCGTAAAAGCACGTGTTGTACGTTTATGTATGCGTAAAAAATATGAGACAGTCGTACGCATGTGTTCGTATACAAACAATGTGTGTGTGTGTTGGTGTGTGTGTGTGGCGTGTGTTGCCTTAACCGCAGCAAAGCCGCAGAATTTTGCCCGAGGAATTTGTTGCGTACGACGAGCTGCTCGGTGCGTTTGTACGCATTATACTATTATTGTGGATTGTCACATCAATATATACATATATATATATATATATATATATATATATGTATATATATATATATATATATTTATATAATAATGTTTATATATGTATATATTTATATATATATATATATATACATATATATATTTATATATATGTGTGTGTGTATGTGTGTGTGTATGTGTGTGTGTGTGTAGTTATACATTTATCAGTTTTTATGTTTTGTACTGACAAATACTTTTTTATGTAAACATCTATATATACATATAAGTATATATATATATATATAGATATGTTTATATATATACATATATGTGTATGTATAATAATGTTTATGTAAACATTTTAAATACATACAAACAATATATAATTGTGTAATTTATTTCAGTGGAAATTTTTTCGTGTGTCAATGTTGGTAGTTCCACAGAGATGTAATCGAACACACAGATGCACACACACACACACACACTCGCACACAAACAAACTCAAACACACGCACACAAACAAATTCTAGCACACATACACGCACAAAGATACGCACACGCACGCAAACAAACACACTCACGCAGACATACAAAAACGCACGCACGCACTAGACTGACTACTACTGAATGTTTATTAGTCGTATAAGAAATATCCCTCGTCTCTGTCGACTTGCATTCACTCCACTCTTTATTTATTTCACGTGATTATTAGGCTAAAAATTCTGCGTGGAATTCGTTGGATCTTGACTTGCTCTTTCTCCCAACATAAATAAATTCGTTTGTTCAATTTTTTTCCTTCAAATGTTATATTTTCATGAATTTTTTGTTGAAGTTACAAAAACAACTCGTTTGGGAATAATCATAATATCTGATATTTTAATCTGAAACTTGAAACTAGCAATCCAACATACTGATTTTTTTCTCCACTTAATTTTAATTAAAATCCAAACTTAAATGTCTAACTCTGGCACGGCGCCACCGAGTAGCAGCATGATTAACGGAAAATTATCAAACGATCCAGAAGCAAGCGCGCGTTTGTTAGCAGTCACGGATTCAGGCCTGGAATGTTCCGACGATGAAGTCGTGGCCGGCGTGAAAATAACCGTCACAGAAGCGGCTTGCCACGCTTCAGCGGCTTCCTCCAGTAAACATTCCCTCAGATCGAGAAGTAAGCGACAGTCGACGAAAGATTCCTTTCGATCTGGCAACTGGAAACTGAAGTACAAGGATTTCGTACCGCCTCCACATGCTTCTATTTCTTCAAAAAAATTTGTCAGACCGGATAAATGGGCCATGTCCTCCTGTAATCTCAGGTTGGAATTGTTTTTTGAAATAATTTTTATTCAATGTTTTGGTTAATGTTTCGTTATTTATCTTTCGATAGGCATGTTTTTAAACAAAAACAACGCACATTTTGTTTGAGTGTTATAGATACCAATCCAGTTTGAAAAGTTAAGCAAATAAACATTCATGGTCTGGCACAACCGAGTTTGTTCAGAACTTTTATTGGATTGAAGGACCACATTTTAAAAAATGTGCTTCCAAAAACTGAATTTGTACATCCAACAACATAACATCTATGTAGCATATCTTTAGACCAGCCTTCTTATTTATCTACACACACATCAATCAAACTTCTGACCGACCAACCAACCAACCAACCAAACAACCAACCATCTAATCATCCAACCAACCAATCAACCAGCTAACCTACTAGCCAATCATCCAACCAACCAACCAGCCAGGTTTTTGCCGAAACCAATGGATGTTCATATTTTTTTGTGTGTGAAACGTGTAGCGGTGATGATGATAAAAAATGGTTTGCTATACGTGCTTAGTGCAAAAAAATATTTCTCTGTTGCAATTTGAATGCTGCAAACAGAAGTGACAGAAAGTTCGATTAGGTCCACAGAAACCTATCAATCATAGCCTCACTACAACCTCTGCTACTACTAATAAAACTTACTAACAATGCTACAACTATTCAGTGGCGAATTCAGTGAGACCCTCACACAAAATCTTTGAGTTTTTACCCCTTCTAAAAATTATCTAGACCCCTTATGTTACTACTAATACTACTATGATAAGTAAAACTGAGTAACACCAAATGTAGGAATAAAAAATGATAGTTCTTAATCATTCTTGATCTGGCTGTCTGTATGGAAGTTTTTAAACGTAGAATATGTTCGCATTAAATTTAATTTCCAATGTATAATTGTATATGCAAAAACGACAAAGTGTGGGAAAATATTGCAGAAATATGTAACAAATGATTTCCCCAAACTTATTTAGGAGCATGTGTTTATATAAGTGTACCATGATATAAGCCAATATCGAATGCAATTTTTCGGCCGCGCTGAACAAACAGCAATACAATCAACATAAGAAATGTTAAGTCAACAACATGGGCAGCTCTATCGTCCTATATTGTTATTAATATTAACGATGGTGAGGACGACGAGGACGATGGTAGAGATAATAAAGAAGATGGTGATAAGGACGAGTGTAATGCTGATGACATATAAAAATGTCGATGGAATATTCAAAGAAAGTATTGACAGTCAAGCACTGAATTTTTTTTTACAAAAAAATATTCTGAAACATTTCAATTATGAATTGAAATCATTGATAAGATTTATTGCATATTAAACGGTTATATATTTAATACATTAAGAGTAATATCATTCTTGATCTGGCAATCCGTATGGAAGATTTTCGACATAGAGTATGTTCGTATTAAATACAATTTCCAATGTGTATATTGTATATGTACAAAACAGTTTTTTATACATCCTATGTGTATCATATAATCAAACAAATGTTCTTTTGCGATATACAATTTATTAACCACTAACTATGAAACTGTTAATAATGAGGCTTACGAAGAAGACATAGAATTGCATCTTTGTGGTTTTGCATGATGACGGAATAGCATGATGTTTGTACTGCGTTAGGCTTGTGCAAGCCATCAATTTTTCATTCCCAAAGAACGACAACAACAGCCTCTGTGATAACGGAGAGTAGGGAAAAAAAGAAATTTTATTGAATTTTACCAATTTTCGCGTGTTGTTAGTTTTTCAATTTCGTGGAATAAATGGATCTCCGTATGGTGCATGCAACTGAGATTTTTGACTTTTTTTTACAAAAGTTTTCATTACATCGCAGTTGAATCACATTCTTACAGTTGATTCCACAAAACTTTGCTACAAATTGAAAACGACTCAACGAAACAGAAAAGAATTTTTTCTGAAATAAAAAAAACAAGAGGAGGAAAATACAAAATAAAAAACAAAAATCGAAATTGTAAAATAAAATAATTTCCTTGCATGGGCAACCCGATATTCGCGAGGGATCAATTTATGGGAAGGTTTTTGGGATTTCATTTCAACGTCAAACAAACAACAAACAGACACAAACAAACAAACGCAAAAGCAATCAAACAAACACAAATAAACTCACATCCTGATAAAAAAACCAAACAAAACACAAAAAAACAACATTGAATAACAAAACATACAAAAAGTACACGCGAACACTGTTATACATTTACATACATATTCATGCCACGCATATACATACAATCAGATTTATATATATTATAATTATTCGAAAATTTGTATAGCGCTTATTACAAACAAAATGTTTCTCAAAAGCACTATTTAAAAAAAACAGATATATATATATATATATATATATATATAATATTATATATATATATATATAATATATTGTATGTGAACATACAAACGTCCAAAGCGCATACATGAATATTCAATCGATACGCCCAAATATTTGCATCACGTCTTACTATTCATTGCATTACATACAAAATACCACGCCATACCTCAGTCAAAGTTTATACGGAGCAACTCATTATACAAATAATATTTATGCCCATTTGCTTTTATCAATGTTTAAAAAAAATGTTTTTAAGAACTGGAAACAGCATTGATAATTTCAAATATACCTACGGAGGTACCATACCAGAGCCGGATTTGCAGCTGTGGAGAGAGGCCCTGGGCCGGATTTACAGCTGTGGAGAGAGGCCCTGGGCCGGATTTACAGCTGAGGAGAAAGGCCCTGAGCCGGATTAACAGCTGAAGAGAGAGGCCCTGAAGCAACAAAGATGTAGATCTAGATCTCTAATTATTTAGTGGAGACCATATGTATTTAGTGAAGATCACTGATTATTTAATAGTGGTCCATATTTTTTATAGTTTCTAGCTTCAACATAGCGTAACTGGTTTTTACAAAACATGGGATTAATTAATTAATTAATAATCAATTAGTCATTCAGTTAATAATCGATTAGTTTCTTAAAAAGTATGCGAACACAAACAAACACTTAAAGAATCAAACAAAAACAATCAAACATGAAAGAAAAAATACATCGACCAGATTGTCTTAATTAAACAGATTAAACTAGAGCAATATACAAATTACCGATTAGATTGATTCTGTGATGTGGTTCAGCCAGCTGAGGTGGATGATAATACTTACATGGTGATGATGATATACACATGACGATACTGATACATGCATCCTGATGATGATGAAACACAAATGATGAGGATGACACATACGGAATGATGATACACACAGAATGATGATGCACACAAGATGATGTGATACATACAAATGTTGGAATATAATGATGATGGTATATACATACAAAATTATAATACACCAATCGTTTGACACAACATGGTTGTACATTTTTATTTATAAACGTCTTTTGTATGTTATGAAATAATATTAAATTTTTCCATTTTAAAATGATTCAGTAAGTTAATATCAATAATGAAAAAATGATACATTAAAATATTGTGGCAAAAAAACTTTTTATGAGAAGGGGGGCCCTGTCTTAAGTTCAATCACGGGCTTATTCGTAACGTTGCAATAATGTTAGATAACATCTGCCTGCAGAGATCAATGAATGTTTTAGCATTGGTTTGCTGGACATGAAGCAGATCTGACGGACTGAAATGATGAATCTGAAATATGATGGTTTGATCGTGTGATAATCTTTCATCCATCTGAATATTTTATTATTTTGTATGCCAGTTTTTTTTATCTATTTTTTGTCTTTTATTTTGTTTTGTTGTTTGTTTGTTGACACATTTTTTCAAAATTTTGTTGGTATCATTTGTTATCGTTTGATCAATCAAAGAATTTGTCATTCATTCATTCGTTCGTTCGTTCGTTCTTTCGTTCGTTCGTTTGTTCGTTCGTTCGTTCGTTCGTTTTTTCATTCATTCATTCATTCATTCAGTCAGTCAGTCAGTCAGTCATTCATGCACTGCACATTCATCACATAAATGGCACATTTTCGGTCAAGAACCTCTGCGGCCTACTTTTATAGAGCGTCGACGTTTTGTTTTTTTTTCTCCTACGAATTAAATTTTTTTTTATAAAGACTTAGTTTTTATTTATCATCCATCAATTATTATTTTCTAATTATTTTTTTTATTATCCATTATTATTTTCTAATTTAAAAAAAATTTCATTTTTATAACTGATAAACCGTACCGCTATTTGTGCCGTCTGCAAATGGTTTCAATGAATTGACTCAGGCCAAAGTTAGTGAAATGAAAACGCAATCAACTTACGCTACAACATTCCCACATACCTAGGCAAGCATCTTGTACAGTAGCAACACGCATGTTCTTCATTGCGTGTTAGGTAAATTATGCTGCTTCTACTCATTTAAAATTTAATAACAAAATTCATCTACGAAAGGACCGGCATTCAGTTGATTTCCTTCAACTAAATGCCCAAAATTCTGAAATCATGTTTTTTGGCACGCCACAGCAACTCTTGTAAGTTTTCCACTCCCCAACGTATCAGTTACTGGATCGAACCTGTCTACATCAACAGGTCTTAAATTGCTAGATGTTACTCTTCATCTCGTTTTTACTTTTCATAGCTCACACATCTACTCTCCTCAAAACATTCAATTACATTATTCGCCACATTCGACCTTAAAATTAGATTAAAATAATTTCACTGACTACAGATACAAATAGTTTTGTCACGGTCCGGTTTAATTTTAACTCTTGGGTATGTCTTATGTTTAGCCGAAACGTTGCATTATGTATGGGCGTGTTGTATGGTTGGCTCTAAGTGAAACTTCAAATCTGCTAAAAAAATTAATTTAGAAAAAAAATAGCGAATTATAATCATTTAATAACAGTCAATTAAAATTTATTATATGATATCATAAAAATTAATCAAAAATTTCAAATATGTACTTTTATACAATGGAAATTTACTTGAAAACAAAAAAAAATTCTTTCATACTTTCACATACACAGAAAAAAAAATCCCACACACACACACCGAGAGAGAGAGAGAGAGAAAGAGAAAGAGAGAGAGAGAGAGGGAAAGAGAGAGATACACACAGACATAATTGACAAAAACAACCAAAAACATACACAAACAGCAAACTGGTAGACAACGCAAACGAATGGCTCCGTAAGAACACCCAAGTGCAAGTAATGTCCTGTCAGACCATTGTTTGGTCATCTTGGGACCCGACAACATTAGACGACAGTTCGCAGATGGTCATCTCGAAAAGTACAACTGAAGATTCTATAACTTATTTCAAAAGCGGTTTGAGGTTAGTTGGACTGTTGAGATGTGTGCGCGTCGCTGTGTGTGTGTCTATGTGTTTGTGTGTGTGTCTGTGTGTTCGTTTGTATGTCTGTGTGTGTGTTCGTTTGTGTGTGTGTGTTCGTTTGTGTGTGTTTATTGTGCGGTTGTTATTTTCTGGTTTTTATCGTCGTTACCTTATTCGCAACAATGTAACAACATAACTGTACAAATATTAGAGTACTTTGTTATCCCATTGTATCATGTTGTATTCATTGCGTCGACTATACAGAATGGATTTTAAAAATAAAACTTAAAAAAATTAAAGCTTGTTCACGCCAAAAATTTTTTTTTAACCATGTAAGGAGTATTTCTTAAAAAACGCAAAAAAAACACTTAAACGGATTATTATCAGCAGTTGTTGGCTGCTGTTTCAAAGAAAAAAAGTTTTTAAAAATTCAAAAAAATCTAAAAATCTCTAGATTAGAAATTGTTTTTTCAAAATTACAGTTTGTACATATTTCTTAAATTTGTGCACGTTTCACTTTGGTGAAATAAAATAATTTTTTGACAAGAATCCCTGAATGATCTGATTTCACCATTCCTCACCCTCGCATTCGAAGCCAGTCACTCCAACATCTGGGCCAGGCACCTTAACCGATACACTATCACCTTTCGATATTATTACAATATAATAAACAATAATACTTTGATAGGCTATGGTTGGAGCCAAGAACGGACAGAAACTCCAGCCAGACGTTGTGCTGTGTTGATCTGGTTCCTGACAAAAAGCACACGACTGTCAACTGCCTCATCGATAAGCTGAATCAGAAAATTTCAAACAAACAGCTCAAAGGTTGGTCTTGGTATGATTTTCTAATTTTTAATAATTAATATTAAAGAGTAAAAAAATAATTTTCAATAATATTGTTTAAATTACAAATGAGAATGATTACTCTGGTTTTCATACTATTTTTTGGGTTAAAAATCTCATTTCTTGATAGAAAAGCATTGAAAAATAGAAAATAATTTATAGATTCTATTGAAATAGTCATTTTTCAATTCAAACGAATGACATCCACAAAACCAGGGCGGTTGGTGACAATTGAAACAACAAGTTTTCCCTGTTCTGGTGAACAGAAAGTTGACTCGAAACATACAAAATGGACGGAATCGATGAATGACGATATACAATACGCCTTTGTCATCAGGTGTTTCTATGTCAAGGATGCATATTCCGATGCTATTAAACTGAGTCAGAATTCTAGTGTCGGTGAGTTTGAAGGATTGACCGGTTGGTTGGTTGGTTGGTTGGTTGGCTGGTTGGTTGGCTGGTTGATTGGCTGGCTGGTCGGTTGGTTGGTCGGTTGGCTGGTCGGTTGGTTGGTTGGTTGATTGGTTGGTTGGTTGTTGATTTGCTGATTGGTTGGTTGGTTGATTGGCTGGTTGGTCAGTTGGTTGGTCGGTCAACCGGTTATGTTTTCAGTTGATTGGTTAGGTAATGCCTGATTTTATGTCTGAATGTTAAATGTTAAGTAGGAAATTAAATTGCCAATGGGAATATATGAGACAAGTGATTAATTAGGAGATTTCAAGTTTTGTTTATTGAATGGATGTTTGTTTGCACAGCTCTTCTTGCTCTTCTTAAGTGGCTATGTGATTTATTTCGTGATGATGGATAGGTTAGTTGATTGGTTGATTGAATAATGGATTGATTGGCTGGTTGATTGGTCAATTGGTTGGCTGGCTGGTTGTTTGATTGAGTGGTTGGATGGCTAGCTGGTTGGTTGGATGGTTGGTTGGATGGTTGGTTGGATGGTTGGTTGGATGGTTGGTTGGATGGTTAGTTGGATGGTTGGTTGGATGGTTGGTTGGATGGTTGGTTGGATGGTTGGTTGGTCGGTTGGTTGAATGATTGATTGGTTGGTTTGTTGCTTGTTTGTTTATTAACTCCTTGTTCAAAAAATGCTTGAGTGTTTGTTGTTGTTGTTGTTTCTAGTTGTCTGTTAAATTTGACAGACCCAGACATTTTTTCAAAACAATCTATTCCGTTTTAAAATTTATTTTGGTTTGATAAACGCGCACTTGAAATAGAAAAATTAGACCTCGTAGCTATAGAAGTCTAACAGAAGTGCCCGTTCCAGTGCGAATCCAGGCATAAATAATAAAATTTGAGGAATGTGAAAAGATGAATTATTTTTTTTGTGAAATCGATTTTCAGTTTAATTTGTAAATATCAACAATAAACATCAGGTTTAAACAATTTCAAACTGTAAATTTAATCAAAAATGTAAATAATATAACCTAAAAGAATATAATATTATATAAACAAATTAAAAACAAAAAAAAAATCATTCATTAATTCATCCATCTAATTGTATAATTAATTTTACACTAATTAATTAAGTAGATACTTAGTTAATTGATTGACTTCATAAAGGTAGGTAACTAGCATGAGATCATTTCACAAAGCAATCAGCAGTTAACAGCATTGATATATAGTCATTTCCACTATGCATGGCAACAGGTTACATTACAAGTAACAGCACACAACATTTTACGACATTACGTTATATTAAAATGCATCATATGACATCACGCTGCATATATACGTACACACACTCTTCGTTGAATGGTTTTCATGACTGAATACTTAGTATCGATCGATTTACTGCTATGTTAAAACTCTGTTGTGTTGATTCAGAAAATAAGGATGATGATGACGATGATGACGCTGATAATGATGATGATACTGGCAATGATGATGATGACTTTGATAGGGATGGTAATGGTAATGATGATATCGACAATTTTTTGTAAGAATTATAGTAGTAGTAAAAATAATAATAGTAGAAGGAAAATGTCGTTTAAAGGCCGTTTTAAGGCGTTAAAATTTCCGGTAGTAACTACTACTACTACTAGAAGTGGTAATAGTAGTAGCAGTAGCAGCAATAGTATAAAGTAGTAGTAGTAGTAGTAGTAGTTGTTGTTGTAATAGTAGTAGTGGTAGTAGTAGTAGTATAGTAGCAGTAGTAGTAGTAGTAGTAGTAGTATTAGTAGTAGTAGCAGTAGTAGTAGTAGTAGTAGTAGTAGTAGTAGTAGTAGTAGTAGTAGTAGTAGTAGTAGTAGTAGTAGGGCATACTAAGGCATACAAATATTTTGCAGATACATACAAACATATATACAAAAAACATACAAACATATACAAAAAAACATACAAACATATACAAAAAATTATTCAAACAAAAACAATTAGCATACAGATAGATTTGACACAACATCAACAATAACAAGAATTAAAAGAAGAGCAGAATGTAGAACGTGAATAATTCAGAGCCAATGGAAATGTCTCGCTTCAATTTTATGTTGTCAGCTCGATGAGCGTAAATTTTCTTCTTGGGTAGGTATAGGTAAAAATTTATATGTCAGAAAAAATTAGGTGAGTTTTGTGTGCATAATGTGTGTATCTGTGTGTGTGTGGTGTGTGTGTGTGTGTGTGTGTGTGTGTGTGGTGTGTATCTGTGTGTGTTGTGTGTGTGTGGTGTGTATCTGTGTGTGTTGTGTGTGAATTGTGCGTGCGTATGAAAATAGCAAATAGCGCAAGTAAGTTTACGTATGAATGTATGTATGGATGGATGCGTGCGTATTTATGCATGTATGTGTGCTTGTAAGTGTGTGTGTGTATGTGAAAGTGTTTGTACGTAATTTGTACAATTTAAAACAAGACGGACTTTGAAAAAAAAAAATTAAACAATATTAACAGATGAATGACTCCATAGAAATACGTACAAAACAATTTGTACGTATTTGTACGAATCGTACCATGTTGCTCCAGATAATTCCATCGTAACCCAAAATAGTAACAACATTGCTATACAAACATTAGAGTACTTTGTTCCTTGTATTCAGTCAATTTTATCAATAATGATTAACGAACGGGCTTGCCTGATGGTTAAATGGTTATAGGTTAAAGGTTAAAGGTTACTCTCTCTCTTTTGCGTTAGCTTCAGAGGTTTCAACGACAAACACACACAGCGTATATGAATACGCGTGCAAACCACGCATCATACACATTGCATCTGATAGGCGGGGATCTCTTTGTATTCGAACCCAGTCATTGCAATAGCAAGACCAGGCGTCTTTAATCATTGAGCCATCACGGTTAAATATGGTTCGCCAGCGTTAGTAAGTATGACTGGCTTCGAGTTGGCGCGCAAGAAATGTAATGCGTTTTACGCAATGTACGTGATGCGTTTCTCCACTCGTTACGCATGGGCTATGTGCGTGTGTGTTGTGTTAAATTAAATCTCAATAACGCATTTAAACTGAATAAGATTTTGGTTAGGAGAAATTCAGAATAAAAAATGTACTATTTGAAAAAAATTTGGTTTAGAACGAAAGTTACAAATGCCAAAAAAAACTTTTAAAAGTACTTTAAATGTGCACTACATTAATGATGACAATAATAGAAGCATTATGATGGCATGATAACATCAACAGCAGCAGCTAAACCCCTGATGACATAAAATGAATAATTTTATGGGACGATGAACTTACACGCGTATAAAGACAGTAATGATGATATAAATGATAGGCGTGGGTGAAGTAAGAATTTTGTTGATTGGGCTGATGAAAAAGAAAAAGAAGATGACATTAACAAAATGACACAATGACATTAACAACAAACAAACAAACATACGAACAAACAAACATACATACAAGCATACCAACCAATTATAAACAAACCAACCAACAAACAAACAAGCAAACATGATGACGATAATGGTGATACAATGACATTAACATCCAACTAACGTGATGATGGTGACATTAGCATTGATGACGACGATGATGATGACGACGATGATGAAGATGCTTTCAAAGTGTACCAGGGTTATTGCGTGCGTTCAAAAAACTAACCAAACAATTCTTATGATAATCCGAGATCGATTTTTATCTTTTTCCCCCGATATTAATAATAATATTTTTTTCTCAAATTTTTTTTCGTCTTACACTATTTAGAAAAATTTGTGTCTCTTACACACTCTCTCTCTCTCTCTCTTTCTTTCTCTCTCTCTTTATTTGAATTTATCTTTTATTTTCGTATGTATAAATGCGTATCATTATCGTTTTTACAATCATCATTATCATCGTCACCACCATCATCATTGTCATCATCATCATCGTTACCATCATCATCATCATAATCATCATCCCAATCGTCGCCCCAATTATCATCACCATCACCACCACCATCTTCATCGTCGTCGTCGTCTTTATCATCATTATGTAGGACTCAAAAATATCATCCCGACGGCAACTGAATGCGGCTATGAAGCTTTCGAATGTCTGGTGGAGAGAGCCAATGAGTGGCTGAAGAACCAGGTCAACATTCAGGTCATCAACATACAATCTGTCATCGGCAAAAAGGACAACGGTATGTGTGTTCGTGTGTGTCTGTATGTGTGTGTGTGTGTGTGGGCATGTGTGTATATGTGTGGGCGTGTCTGTGTGTGTTTGCGTCTGTGTGTATATATAGATGTAATTGGAATGGTCAACTTCGTCCATCGCATAGAATCTGAGACAGGCAGCAACTGCTTCTACACCATGCCCGGCCTCAACGCTACCGAACCGGTCGATTTTTTCCGAATCTTGCGTATAGCTTACGTCACGTCGCCACCGACAGCCACCGATTCGAATACCGAACAGGCGCTACAGCAGCAGCAGCATCCCGCTATCTACCCGTTCAACTACGAAACGTTCACTCCGGAGATAATTAGGGAGAAGGACTCGGAAGAAGATCGGCTGGAGACGATGGCAGAAACCTTTTCGAAAGTGATCGCCTTCCTAAGAAATACAGGTGGTTGATTGAAAGTTGATTGTGCTCGATTGCTTCTTCTTTCATCTTTTTTTATGGAGAATTTTTAAAAAAATAAAAATTATTGCCAGCATTTGGTTAATTAATTTTTTTTCTTGCAATTTCTTTTTTTCTGCACTTGGTTAAAAAAATTCAACTTTTCTTTAATATAACGAAATTTGACTAATTTTTAAATATCATTAGTAACTGAGTCTTACTGGTCAACAGAGCATAATAGTTTATTTTTTATTCATTTATAATTTTTCATTTAAGATAAATTATTGGGAACCAGAAATTACCAAAACGTTATTTATTTGTTCTTCCTTCTTAGTTTTACATCTAGAAATATTTTTTTTCCTGGTGAAATGGAATTCTAAAATAAGACAATGTCCGCCGATGAAAATTATTTTTCTGAAATAGAAATTAACTTTATTTTTAAGTCACATTGTTCTCAAAACGTATCTATCATATTCTAGCTTTCTATTCAAGTACATTTTCGCCTTTGTCCTCATTTCTCATTGAATTTTTCTTCATTGTTTTTCTGACGTCTCATGTTTCTAACTGTCTTCATGACGTTTTATTGAATAATTTATAATTCATTATGCGTGTGTGTGTCTTTGTTTGTGCGTGTGCGTGTGTGCGTGTCTTTGTGCGCGTGTGTGTGTCTTTGTGTGTTGTTTATGTTGATCAAATTGAATTATTTGTTAATATTTGAGAAGGACTGAAACATTATTAAGGAGTGTTTGAGGGATTTAAAGAGTGTCTTCTGAGGGATTTCTGTGTATATGTGTGTGATGTTAGTGTTTGTGTTTATGTGTGTGTGTGCGTGTGTGCCTATGTGCGTGTGTGTGACGGTGTTATTATAGAGAGATGTAGAAAATTTAATTTTTCAACATCCACACAAACGTTTATTAAAAGTTTCAATAAGATTTTATATTTTTAAATTTCAATACATCTATCAATAAAGTTTGTTTAACTTGAATGAAATTCGATTTTGGAATTTGGTAACTACTACATGCCATAAAAGGCAATGGATAAATAATCACATAAAATAATAATCAATAAATAAATAAATAATAAATATAATAATCAAATATAAACAATCACATAAAATTACATTAAAACTATGAAGAAGCTTTATAACAGGCCAGACAAGCAAACATATAACCTGGCTGAGCAAGTTTAAATTGAATAAAATCAAATGAAATTGAACACACTGAATAACAAAAATGAAATGAACTGAAATAGTGTGAGAACAAAATGAATAACAAAAACAATAAAAACAATCACGTAATGTCACGTGACATTACGTGACGTCATGTGATGTCCAGGTGCTGATGTCATCAACGCCGAGATGGTCATCTACCCCATGCAGCTGTACACGCAGCAGCAGAACTCGCAGAACAATGACGAGTTAAATTTTCTCTTCACCATCAGGTTTTATTTGAATGAGTGAATGAGTGAGTGAGTGAGTGAGTGAGTGAGTGAGTGAGTGAGTGAGTGAGTGAGTGAGTGAGTGAGTGAGTGAATGAGTGTGTAAGTGAGTGAGTGTGAATGAATGAATGAATGAATGAATGAATGAATGAATGAATGAATGAATGAATGAATGAACGAACAAACGAAGGAAGGAACGAACGAACGAATGAATGAACGAATGAACGAACGAACAAACGAACGAACGAACGAACGAACAAAATTTTAAATTAATCTTTAAAAATATTTAGGCTATATTTGAACGGCCAAACGTCAACATCAGAGGCCGGCGACAGATGCATCAAGCGAGGTTCAGTCGTATCTACAGCCTCACGTAGAAATGGCGCCGAAAAGTCCGGCAGAGCCCGAAACGGGCCTATATTTCTGAGGAGCGTTGTCAACCGCCAGTACAAATATCGCTGGCTGGTTTTGGCAATCACGGCCATCTCTTGCATGTCTATCATTGTCGTTGTTAGTGTTGTCTACAGTAACCGTTAGTTCGGTCGTAGTTTGTGTTGTTCGGTTGGTGCTGGGTCTCGTTTATAAAAAAAAGTTAAAGGTTAATGGTCACGAGTTTTGGATGTTGTTTGTGTTGTTTGCTTGGTGATGTTTAGTAATATTTTTGGTATATGATGTTGTTGTTGGTGTGTTGATGTTGTTTGTTTGGTGAATTTTATTTGTTGTTTGGTGATGATATTTCATGTGCGCTTAAACATTATTAAAGTTGTTGATTTCGGTTGGTGTGGTTGTTGTTGCTTTTGGCTTAGCTGACTTGACCGATTGTCACTGAAAAGTTTGTTTGTCATCGAGGTGGTTGCTATGTCAACGATTACGGTCTTCCAAACATTAGTTCGACGGTTTTAATTATTTTGGTGACATGTCTGTTTCGTTGCTCGTTTCAAATATATCAGTAATATTGTTTTGGGGTGAATTTTTGGTTGAGGTGTTTTGTTCTTGTTTATTTTCTCGTCGGCAAAATAGGCAGCCAGTTTTTAATTAAGTTTTTTTGTTTTTTTTTTATTTTTTTTATTTTTTTGAAAGTATTTTTGTGTGGTTTTCGTCTTCAAGTTTTCTTAAATGTGAAGACGAAAAAAAACAACTTAAGATAAGATATCTCGGACTGGTGTGTCTGATGTACATTTATAATATGGTGAATGTATTAAGATTAACTGAAAATTGTAAAATTGGAAACAAGTTTTTTAAATGTTCATTCAAATTTTCATTTTAGTTTGAAAAAATGTTGTTAATTATAACTTTTTGCTACCGTGTTGTTGAACGTTTCTTACAGCACACATTGTATAATGTTTCATCGTTTGAATTGTGCTGGCTATCACTATCATCTTTCGTGGCTTGCATATTCCAGCTGTCCAAATCATAATTTTGAATATTTTATAATTGAATTTTTTTAATAACTCAGAAGTAAACGTAAAATGGAGTGTCTTCGGATTCGAACTCGGTCACTGCAACGCTGCTAGGCAGAATCAGGCGCCTTTAACCACCGAGCCACCACACAACTTCGTCGTTATTGAGTTGTTTTGGTGACTACTGCTGTTAAAAATCGGTTAAAAAGAAAGAATTGTGTATATATTTCATTCTATTTGAAGTTTCATGTAATGTTCTTCTTTAATGCTACATTCTTAAGAACTGCGTGTAACCTATGTTTTATGGGTAGCAAGTGGATCGTTAAGAAAACAATATGGAGATGGTGATGGCGACGAAGAGGAAAATAATGATGTTGAAGAGGATAACCATGTTGATAATGATGACAAGAGTGATGTCGCTAATGAAGTTGCTGCTGTTGCGACTGTTGTGGCTGCTGGTGGCAAAGAAATAGATGGATGACATTAGAGAAGGATCATGAGTGTGAATGTTGAACTGCCCAAAAAAAGATGAAAATGTATTTTTTTTCTTAAATAACATCAGACAAGTTACTATCGTCGTAAAGTAATCAGATTTTTTATTTTAACACGTTTTATATAATTAATGAAATAATAAATATGTAAATACGTAATGAAAAATTGTAATATACATAATTATTTTTCAAAATAATCTTACATTTTTCTCAAATTTTTGTATGTGTTTTCACTTTTTCCATTCGCTTTCATCAGCATCATCCACATATTTTCAATCTATCCAGCACAAACAATTTCGAGTTGAGATTAAAATATTTAAAATATTTAAGTGATTTCGGCTTAATATACATATGTTGTTTATGAATATGTATTATAAATGTATGTACGTATGTGCGTTTCTGTGTGAGTATTTGTGTGTGTTTGTGTGTGTGTAAGTGTGTTTGTGAATGTGTATGTGTTTGTGTGAGTGTATGTGTGTGTATGTGTGCGTATGTGCGTGTGTGTGTGCGTGTATGTATTATTGTATTACCTATAATATTTATTTAATTTCTCTATAGAGCAAAAGATTTTGTGGTTTATCTATAATTTAAATAATTTCATAAACTCATATTTTGTGTATTGATTGTATGTATCAATTTTGTTTTCATTTCTTTGAACCTTTAATACTTATATTTTGTTGCACATGTAGTCACACTGATATAGTGATATAGTACTGATATAGTACATTACATTTTCCATCATTTTTCTGCTTTTTCGATTTTTATATAACTATTTTCACAAAATGTCCAAAGTGTTTTCTAAGCCACGTGTGTATGTGTGTGTGTGTGTGTGTGTGGTGTGTGTGTCTGTGTATGTGAGTGAGTGTGTGTATTTCTTTAAATTTACATCGCTAATTTGACTATTGCTGTTGTCGTTGCTTTTAATATTGTTGTTCATAATTTTAAATTGAGTTGTTAACGTTATTGTTGTTGCTGACGTTTGTGTTGTTTCAACCTATGATTGATTGATGTGTTGTTTTAACTCTGTTGCTATGGTCATCATTGTATTCATTAATGTCACTTTTGTATATAATTACTACATCAGGGGTGGGCAAACTTTTAAATGTGTGGGCCGCATTAAGAACTATTTTACTTTTAAAGGGCCGCAAATGTACTTATATAGCAATTTTTTCCACACGGAAAGAATTTTTTTAAGATTTGTGGCTTTTTTTTGGTCATAATGTCTGGCTACGACAATTTTTTTATTTTTTTTATAGAGAACAAGACCTCGCGGGTTTTGCCCTTTGCCCACCCCTGTATTACACTATTGTTATGTGTGATGTTGTTTGGTTTTTTAACTTTTATACTGCCAGAAACCCTAAAAAAAATTTGTGTAGTATTTTAATAATTTTATTGGCAATAATTCTTTCGTGAAAAAATTCTTTCTCGCTTTACACTTAACTGTTTTTTGAATTTTAAACAAGTTATTCATTCGTTTATTCATTTATTTATCTATTCATTTATTCTTCATTCATTCATTTTTTCATTCATCTATTCATTCATTCATCAATTCATTCATTCACTCATTTATTCGTTCGTTCGCTCGTTCATTCACTCATTCATTTTACTTAACTAAAAATCATTTCAGTTACTTATAAATGTTGTTTAAAAGTTTTCCAATAGGTCAATCAAAGATGTTACATAAAAGATGTTCTACTACTAATACTCCACTACATATAAAATTTTTTTTTTAATTCCTTATCAGTAAAATCTGTAGAACTTGTAAACGTTTATATAACTAGTTTTATTATCTTAACCTTTTATAAACATGAATAGCATATATGTGATTTAATGTACAAACATTATGCTTTCTTGGTGGAGGTTTCGTCTTGTTTTCAATCTCTCAATGATTTCAATCGATTCAATATGCTTAATCGTTTAATTTAATTTCACACATTTTAAGATTTCATTCGACTTTATACACTATTAATGCCCGTTTATAGTGTCTTTTGGCATTTTTTTTACAGTTTATCACTCTCTGTTTAGTATGTGAACCAATGATTTTTTGGTTTTTATGATGGCGAAAACGTTAACAGAGTTTTTGATTCTAAGTTTTTTTTATGATTTGCAATGTATACTTCGTAATATTTAACAGATTTTTTATATGAAATAATAATATTTTAAATAATAACTAAATAATTTTTAATTGAATATATGTTTGAATTGTTTTTTATTCTTAAATATTTCTTCTTTTTGCAATTATTTGAATATAATATCAATATTCAATAAAATTTAAAAAAATCGACGTAGTTTTACTTGGTAGAAAAAAATAAAAATATATAAATCAGAAAATGTATAAATAAAAGTAATTTAAATGTAACCGTTAGTTAGAAATAAACGCTGTCAACAAGGAATAGCATTCGTGAAGTCCTTGTGTCACTTGTTGAATGTCACCCCATTTCAACTACTACAAAGTGTTGAAGATCGGGTTTTGTAGAGGTCGATGGTCGCCAATATCCTGAAAGGATAAGGCACGAAAAATAAAGAGAAGAAATAAACCAAAATTTACAATCGATTTTTAGTCTTTGGTATCAATATTTGTTACGTCATTTGTTTTTGTTTTCACTTTAAATTTTGGTAGTGCGACTTTGTCAGTTTGATTGTGAACCAGTAAAAACGAATGGTACTCTATTTGAAAAAAATGTTAAAGGAAGTCTGGATGGTTCTAATTGGATATTTATTTTGAAGTTACAATTTTTAAATATTTCGAGATTCAATTAAGTCATTTCTAAAAAACAATTGAAAAAGTTAATATTTTTAGTCGATTCATTTGAATAATTTTAATTTTTGGTGACAACAAGACAAAATTACAAAATTTCAACTTTAAACCGTCGAAAAATCATCCGACCGAAAGTTACCAAAAATAAAACCTAAACAGAATGCCCCAGTACTCGAGCAGCGCCGAGCAGACCTGCACGAAGCCCTTACCTTACTCCCTTCTACAAAAAGAACCTGACTACGAAACATGTGAACCCCCATTAGACATCACCCTATTTGAGCACACACCTCTCTACTCTCTACTCTCCATACACACCAGATCAGCAATGAAGCAAGCCTTCGATATGATCAAAATTTTGAAGAATTTTGAATTCAAGAAAAGATCGTTTGTGGATCGGTCGACCTACCTCCATCACGTCATCAACCAAGCACCAATCATGTTCGAGAAATACTCAACTGTCATTGATTTGGTGCCCATTATTTACCAGTTGGTCTTGAAGGGTGTGAATGTGAATGCGCAGAATGTCTACGGCAACACCTGCATGCATCTGGCCTGTCTGAGACCTCACGCTGCAGAACTCTGCATTCACCTGCTCAGATTAGGTTGGTGGTGAGATTAGTTTTTCAAACATTTATAATATTCAGCTGTCTAGATCAGGGGTGGGCAAACGTTTTGCTGTGAGGGCCGCATTGAGAACTGTTTTACCTTTGAAGGACCGTTTATGTACTGAAATAGCAATAGTTTGCCCGCCCCTGGTCTAGATAGATGTTTATTGAATAAAAATGGATTGATTATTGATGGATACAATATTTTTTTTCTAATTTAATTGCAAATTTTGAATGAATGATTTTATTAGCTATGCATGAATCACTGAGATTTTTTAAATAAACAATTTCAAGAACTATCATTCACATTAAAACTGAGAGTTAGAACACAACAACTCCTCTGAACACCGTCAAACTATTCAAAAATTATCAAACTTCAAAATGTTTGAAACAGTTCAATGTTGCCAATCTGAAACAAAAAATAGGATGCGATCCGTGCATAGCGAACAAGAAGGGATGCCGAATTGTCTACACGCACCACAACCACGTCTTTAGGATGGTGAAGGGAGAGTCGTCAGTTAAGTCAGGCCTTTGGTACTCGGTTCAGGTTGACGAGTTTCGAAAAAATTATTTCCTAATTATTTGTTAATTATTTGTTAATTAATTTATTTGTATATGTGAGGAAGCTATACAGGTCAGAAGTTTTAATTTTACGGTTTGTTGGTGCTTCTTCTTAAAATTTGTTTTGAAATTCAGAGATTCGGCTGATTCGTGCAATAGTATAATTTTCGTTTTGTTTGTCTAATTACGTGATTGAAAATTAAATTCAGATCAACATATTCGTAACTTTCACGTTATAATTAAATTTTCACGCATTTAATAAAATAATTCATCACATAAAATTAATTTGAATGAAGTGTCTGGTAAACTTAATTTGTTTACTCAGAATTTTCCTTAACATTCAAGTAGCCAACTCATCAAAACGCAAGTATTCACTCAGGTCTATATTAAAAAATCTCTCTGTAGGCTGAGAATGTAGAAATGACGGAAAAGTTACTGCAATCCTGGTGTAGGGTGAACATCACACGTAAGAAACCTCTGTTGGAGTTAGCCGATGAGACGAGCAATGAGAAGCTGATGAAGGTCCTGCAGAAATACGCTCTCACAAATGAAGTCGTATGCGCCGCGTTTGCCTGTGATGTTCCACTCATGGCGTCCCTTGCTAAGAAGGGTTTCATGCTTTCACCGTTGTTTTAATTAAAAATTTTGATGCTGGTGATTTTTTTCGGAAATTTTTCTTTGTGTTGTTGCTTTTTAGTACTCGGGTGATTCATAATTTGATGTGTTCTCCGTTTATTTGTTCTATTGAATTTTTGTAGAATTTTTAGTTATCATTGTTAGTTAAATGTCAATGTGTTCGGGCAAATTGAATTTAGCTCTGACAATGCGTCTTTATTGCTTTTTCAGTGTTTTTATTTTGATATTAATAGACATGGTCTGAATATTTTCACTCGAATAGGTGCCATAAACTGGCAACAGCGAGACGGGGCCTACGACCTTCCGCGACCTCTGACCGTGGCTCTAGGGGAGTTGAGTCTCTGGAGTGAGGAGGTCATCAGCTATTTGATCGAGATGGGGGCAACTTCTATGAGTTCTTTCCTATGTCTGCTGTTTTTTTTTATTTAGTTGTGGAAAATTTAATTTGCTGATCCTTTTGTTTGAAATGCTATTCAAAGCAAATTATAAATGAAAACGTTTTTCAAATTTAAAAATTTTGTCAATTAGAAGTAGAAAATTAAAAATTGTTATTAATTATTTTGATAGTTTAACTTTTAATTTTAACAATAAAATAATTCAACAACCCAAAAACCAACAGCGGAGAAACAGGAATACGAAGAAGAATTTGAAAAAAGTGAATTCTACCAACTGGTTGAGCTAGCGACGATGGAGTCTCTGACGAAAGCGTCTGACTTGATCCTTGAGAAGAAAGTCAATTTGAAGCTAAAAAGTTTTCAGGAGCACAGGAAGCACTGGACTTACTTTCATTATGTCGTCTACAGGTCGGACCAACAGCATGTTACTTTTTCGTAATGTTGCTCAGTGGCGTTCCGTAACTTTTGTATGATTTAAAAATTGTCATTTAACTAAAATTTGACACTCAAAATGTTAGCACACAAATTTTGATCATGGCGAAACTGAACATCATTCACTAATAGAATGGGATCTCGTTTTGATGTATCTAAAACGTAGTGTGACAAAAATAAAACTCCCCATTAACTTTTCTTTACTATTGAGTTTTTCTAAATAAACTTTTACGTTACTTGCACAAACTTGGACCTGCACTCCCAACAACCTACCTGTCGTACGTACAAAAATGGAAGTAAGAGAAAACGCCGCATATTTTCCTAGTGGTCCCATGTTAGATTTTGTTTGTGCAGTTTGCATTTGAACCATCTCAACGCTCATTAACAACTCTAAACACGGCACTTTTACCTTCTAAGCTAACACGATAACTAATCAACATAACATATTATCCATTTAAGTATTTTTAAATGAAAGATTATGCTAAAATTAACTTTGCTTGTTATAATAGTCTCAATTACGGCATTTAAAATTTAAAAAATATTAGATAATTAGAATAAAACCAAACAGAAAAATAATTTTTTTCATAAAAACAACCACCAGACAAACAGTCCTACAAAGGTACGACAACGAGCTGTCCCGCTTGTTCACCCGTTGCATGTACAGGTTGGCCCTGGCGGGCATAGACGTGAATGCGAGAGCCCAAAACGGAGACACCGCCCTTCTGATAGGAGCTGCTGACAAGAACCAACAAACGCTGCACCACCTCATCCGAATGGGTTTGTTTGTCGGTGTTTGTATAGCAAAAATTATATTAACAATGGGGACATGGAGAATTGCTATAGTCGTTAATGTTTATGAGTATTTCTATAGCGTTTTTACATCATAAATGTTGCTGATATGAGCGAATGCTATCATTCAAGGCGTAGGTGATAGATAAACTACTTATATAACTTTTATTGTGATGATGACAATAATAAAAACGTCACAAATAAAGATTCCAAAAAATGAAAAAAAAACTCCAAATGTGAAACAAATATATAATTATTATAATAATTTCAATATTACCGACATTTTAAAATTATCAAACCGGAAAAGGTTGCGACTCGACGATACCGAACCGAAAGGGCGAATGTGTATCGATGGAGAAATATGCCGGTAGAGGAAAACTAGTACTGACCAAGAAATACCGGGAGGTCGATCTGCCAGGATTGCACGCTGCCGGTTTGTGCTGACGTATTTGTTGCGTAGTCACGTGGTTTGTGTAATAATCTGACGTCATTTGTGTGTGGTCATGTGATGCTTTTGTATGATGACTATTTGGATTTGTTTTAGGTTATAGAGTGTTATTTTGTAGTTAAGCGATGGTTTCATTTGTCCGTGTATTAATCTTTAGAGTAAAGTATGGTTTTATATTCGATTTTGATTAAATTTTTAGTATTATATTTTTTTAATATTATTAAAAATAAATTAAATTATATTTAAAATAAATAATAATAAAAAAAATTTAGCCATGTAAGGATATAAAATCCAATTAAAAGCCGCCAATCAAATTTGTAACACCATTCAAAAGTGAAGCACAACAACATCGTTATGGCCGAGAGGTGGCTGAACGCCTGGGCCCGTGTCAATTGCAAGGTGGGAGACAGAAAGCTGATGGATGTGGCCCAGTCCCGCAATCAGAGTGCCATGGTAGAACTTTTAAGGGGTTACCAACATATTAACGAATTCGTCTGTGCCACTCTAGCCTCTGACTATCAACAAGTCATGAATTATATTGCTCTGGGAGATGGTTGGTATGAAGAGATTTTACTTTTTTTATTCTGTTAATCAAACTTTGTTGGAGGCAGAAAAAATAACAGCTTGCAAGATATGCAATCATGTAACTCAAATTATGGATATGGAAAAAATTAGTTGCATGTTAGCTGTATGAATTAGAATGTTTTTTGATAGGTGTGGGATTGGTTTCATTGTGTTAATTTGGAAACATATCTTGAGGAGTTAGATTATTTTTAAAAATGTTGGCAACATTTTGTAATTGTTAGCATTAAGCTCCGATGTAATTGAAAATAGTACTGTAAATCTGAATAAATTAATAAATTTTGCTAATAGTAATTATATAGATATCTCTGAAAAAAAAACTAAAAAAAATGGTAAAACAAGTAAAAACAAATAAGTCACTATTAGTAAAACAAAGTTAAAAAATAAAAAAAACCTTACATGAACAAGGTTTGCGAAAAGTGAACGCAGTCGATCTCTACTTCCCAACTGGTTTCGTCCTGAACTACAGAGCAGAATTCATTCCTCGACCGATCATAGTCAGCGCCATCGTCCTATGCACACCTCAGATTGTGGAGTTTCTGCTGAAGTTTAATGCCAACCTCTCAAATCAGTATGAAGGTTGGGCTAGAATGATTTGAATGTTGAACGTTTCGGTATGAATCACAAGGCACACAGAATATAAGCTTACGTGAATTGGCGTGAATCCACGAACCAAATTTGATACATGTCTTAAGTGGCGATCTTTTCGCATTTGAACCTGGTCACTGCAGCAGAAGGAGCAGACGTCTTAACCATTCCACTATCTCGCCACCCATGATTGTTATTTATATTTATTCAGAAAAACCGCCTTGTGGCCCGTTGGCATTTTGGTCATTTCAGAACAACGTGTGTAACTCAATAACGTTGGTGGTTGTGAAGTACGCTGATATAACTCTAAGAGACGAGATTGGATGTACTATGCTGCATCGGATAGTCAGCAAGAATAGGTTGTATGTTTGTCTCTCCCTTTCTCTCCCTTTCTCTCTCTCTCTTTCACTCTCTGTCTGTGTGTCTATGTGTCTGTGTACGTGTGTTTGTTTGTATATGTGGGTTTTTGTGTGTTTGTTAATTACAAATTGTATTTACATTTAATACAAATTTATTTTCATTATTTACAAATTTATTTTCATTATTTACAAATTTATTTGCATTATTTACAATTCCTTTGCAAAAATTCTTTGCAGACCTCAATACAAGTTAGAAGTGGTGAGAGTCCTTCTGGAAAGATCCATCAACATTGCAGCCAGAGATGAAGATGGCCGGACTGCCAGGGATTACACCATCATGTATCCGGTACGTGGTCCAGTGGGATTTTATTTTTCCTGATTTTTTATTTTTTGTATTTTGTAGATTTTTTTGACAGTTTTTTGCTTCTAATCGGTCGGGATCTATTTGCATTTGAATCCAGTCACTGCAACAACGATGCCAGTTGTCTTAACCGTTACTCCTATTTATAAAGTCAAACAAACGCCAGGAAATCGAATTAGCTGAGTTAATACGGCAAGTCTTAGACGACTACGTCTTGGAGCTAGTGAAACTGGACAACGTAATTGAACTTGAACAACTTGTCCTAAACGACTACGATCACATTCTTGACATAAAAGATTCAACTAAGAAGAAGAATGCACTGGAGATTGCAGAGAATAAGCAATATTATGACATGCAGATGTTTCTCAAGAAGATTGATATTTATAAAGTTGGAAATTTTTTAAATTTTGGAAAAATTTGTTTAAAATATAGATAATCGTACTAGAAATCAATTTTTTTGAGTTTCGTGACTCCAATATTTTTTACGGTATGATATATTTTACTTGGCAGTTTGTATTTTCAATGGGTAACATTTTGCCACCATTGTTACAATAATTACGGTTTTAAAATTTTTATTTAATGAAAAATTAATTATAGGTAACAAAATCCTCAAATTAGTTAACAATCCCATTAATATTTTTTAAATTTAACCGTTTATTTTCAACCAATATAATAATAATAATAATTTGAAAACCAAATTTCAAAATATTACCTCCAAACTATTTCAAAATAATTTTAAATACGAACAAAAACAGATAAAAGAAATGAAGTAAAAAAATTTTTATTCAATTTCAAATTAATAGGAATTTAAAACATCTTTCAAATCGAACCTACTAGAAAGAGATTAGCATATTGCAGAAGGCAGTGATTGAAGGTGACACGGTGGCAGTTTCAAAACACGCCATGGAGAAGAAATGCGCCCAATGTAAGCCTTTCATGAACTTTTTCCATGTTTCAAATTCTCGATCAAGACTTCGCTTTTTTCAGTTCACTTTTTTCCATATTTAACAAAGAATTTCACCTGGCAACACATGTAACAACAAAATATAAACACACACATAAACAATTATATATATATATATATATATATATATATATATATATATATATATATATATATATATATATATATATATATATATATACAGAAACATTATCCTCATAAACTTGAACATATGCAACTACAAAAACTTTACTATATTTCACTCCAATGACAACAACAAAATTATGATTATGAAAAAAAAACGCTTTCAAACATTTCTAAACGACAATGAAAGATGAAAACTTCACACATCACTAACAACACAACAACGGCATCTGTATAACTCGAGGAAACAAACCACACATAAACTTCACAACAGTCTCAAGCAAACAACGACAAAATTCCACAAACTAGGCACGGACATGGGTGGGAGGACACTACTCCACCTGGCTGTCTTGCACGAAAGATTGGAAATCATCAAGTACTTGCTGGATCATTTCCCTGGCCTCATCAATAGAACTGATAACGTTAGTTGCCGTATCAAATTGTCTAAGTCTTGTCTAGCCTTGTGTTTAACTATCTGAAAGTAAGCTCGTCTGGTCTTTAACCATTGGAGGGTAAACTGTATAAAGAACACGTTTCCTCCAGTCAACTCTGTTCGGCGTCTGTCTCAGCAACGCTCCCATTTTTAAATTTGATATTAACATAAATCTTTTTTTTCTATTCTCTCTTTCTCTCTCTCTCTTTTTCTCTTTTTCGCTTTCTCTCTCTTTCTCTCTCTCTCTCTTTTTCTCTCTTTAACATTTCTTGATGTTAAAAACAACAGACACCCATTATATTCAAAAGGACGTAATTCAAAGCATCTCACAGAGTGTATGCATGTGTTAGGCGGAGATCTCCTTACATTCGAACCCAGTCCCCACGACATCAGTGCCAGGCATTTAAACCATTAACACCATCGCATTATTAATGAATGATTGACAGCTTGGTAGGACCGCCCTACATTATTGCGTCTGTTTGAAAGACCGCATTAATATTTGGCCGCCACTACAAGATGCCGGGGCAGATCCCGCTATTGCTGATGCCGTATGTGGTTGTATATTTTTGTTTGTTTGTATGTTTGTGTGTATGTTTGTATGTTTGTGTGTATGTTTGTCTGTATATTTTTGAATGTTTTTGTATTTTTGCCTGTTAGTTTGTATGTTTGTTTGTATGTTTGTTACATGTTTGTGTGAGTGTATGATTGTGTGTATGTTTGTTTGTATATTTTTGTTTGTTTTTATATTTGTGTTTGTTAGTTTGTATGTTTGCTTGTATGTTTGTTTGTTTGTATGTTTGTTTGTTATTGTTCTTTTATAATCCACATTAGAACAATTTGACGGTGTATGACTACGTAAAACAGTTGAAAAATCCAGTTCCGTTGTCAGCCAAGAGCAAATCCAGGCAGTGGAGAAATTATACGGTTTTTGTTTTAAACTTTCAATCCAATTTGTTGAATTACTTTCTGTCTGTGTGTGTTTATTTGTTTGTTTGTGTGTGTGTGTGTGTGGTGTGAGTGTGTGGTGATTGTGTGTATGTGTTTGTGTGAGTGTCATATGAAACAATGAACATATTCAACTGATGAACTTATTTGATGATTTGATGTTACTAATAAATCAACTCCAGATGAGTCTCGGTACAATTTTCGGCTCATTTTTAAATTTATCCAGTATTATATTTTTTGTTTTTTCTTCAAATAGTAATTTTTCACATTGGTTAGATCCAAATTCACAATTATTTTTAAAACGCAACCACCAAACCTCACCCGACCAGCCATCATTTGAGTTAATCGAGCTCGAAAAGAACCTCTTATACACGAATCTGGAGAACGAAAAGCCTGCCACAAACAAGAATAACAAACGCTCGGCTGTCTTCATCCAGGATATAGCGGATGCGATGGAGTTGAAGCAGGAGTATTTGATGGAGATGATACAGAAGCCTTCGGCCATGACTGTACAACAGCAGCAGCAGTTTTCTGAGATGTTGTCACAAGTACATAGTGAGGCCTATGACGACGACGCTGATGATGAAGGCATTGAAGATGGTGGTGGATGATGATGATTGTGGTGATGATGATGTAAAGATGATGATGATTTTGGTGATGACGATGATGATTGTAGTGATGATGATGTTTGTGATGATGATGATGATGATTGTAGTGATGATGTTTGTGATGATGATGATGATGATTGTAGTGATGATGATGATTGTGGTGATGATGATGATGATGATGATAACATAATGATAAGATGATGATGGTGGTGGTGGTGCTAATTGTCAAAAAATGGCGGGTAATGATGAAAATTATTTTGATAAGGAGCCGAAAATGATGTGATATCGGAATGATATATGATATGATATAATATGATGATATGATATATGATATAATATGAAATGATGTGATATGATATGATATCGGCTAATGATGGTAAAAGTGGTGACGAAAGGATGATGATAAAAATGATATACCAACAAACCTGGAGATGAGGATTGATTTAGAACATGGCAAGCATTTCAAATAAAGACAATGACGACGATGATGTTGAGCAAACATTTTTTCACTTACATTAAATTTCATGATTGGAAGATGATTTAATTTTGGATAGAGTGTGTTGGATGGGTGATAGATACATCAATTCGAACGCTTATAGTAGCGTAAGTTTAGTTTAGGCGCAGCATATTGTTATTGCTGTTGGAGATTTATGAATATTTTTAGTCGATGTTTTGCTTAATACTTTTTTTTATTAAAATTTGTGAATTTTAAAAAATGAAAAATAAAATTGGTTAAAAAATTATTTGGCAATTCTCAATATGGATAACCTGCTGGAAACCGTTTTGCAATAGAAAGTGATTAGAATGGGGTAATAGTAATGATCTAGCTTAACAGTTTTCGTAACTATCATCATGATCGTCGTGCGAACAAAACTAGAATATTTTTTTTAATAATTCATTTTTTATAAATACAACAAATTATAGTATCGTCCGTATGAAAAAACAAAATTCATGAACAACGAACAATAAATACGTTCACGGTATTGTGTTTGTGTGTGTATTTTGTGTTCATAATCTGTATGTATATATACACATGAGTGTATGTGTCTGCGTATGTTTTCTGTGTGTATGTGTGTGTGTGTGTGTGTGTGTGTGTGTGTGTGTCTGTACGTATGTATGTCTGTGTGTGCGTATGTGTGCGTCTGTATGCGTGTGTCCAAGTATTATCATATTTGTTTTTATATAAAACCCTGCTAAACGAAATAACAATGAATTGATAACATATCAATAATTACAATATATATATACATATATGAGTGTGTGTATGTGTGTGTGTGTGTGTGTGTGTGTGTGTGTGTGTGTGTGTGTGTGTGTGTGTGTGTGTGGGTATGTGGGTGTGTGTGTTTGATATATCATCTAGGAAAGAATATCGTTATTACAATCATGTATCATTCCTTAAATTGCAATACCAATATCAAAATGATATGAAAGTAGTAATTAGTAATGATGATCATAGTAACAGTAATGGTAATAATGATGATAATGTTGTTGTTGTTGTTATTGTTGATGATGAAGATGATAACGATGACGATGATAATGATGATGATGATGAACCAGTGAAACTTCAAAGTTTTATCACATTACGTATATTTTCCGCAAACTTACAAACACCTAAATAAATGGATGCATGAATGAAGGAAGATTAAAATGAACGATTGAATGAAAGATTGGTTGATTGATTGATTAACTGATTGTTTGGTTAATTGATTAATTTAATTAATTAATTAATTAATTAATTAATTAATTAATTAATTAACGAACAAACGAGCGAATGAATAAATGAAAGAACGAATGAATGAATGAATGAAAGAACGAACGAACGAACGAACGAATGAATGAATGAATGAATGAATGAATGAGTGAATAAAAAAAGAATGAATGAATGAACGAATGAAGGAATAATAAAGCAACCAAATATATATCTATCCGTTTTACCACAGATTCAAAATATCGAAATCAGATTTTGCTTTATATTCATATATTCACTTTCAGAAACTAAAAACTCATATCAAAATAACCATATTTATAAATTTACCCATAGAAATGAAATGACGAACAATTTAAATTCACACACACACACATCATTCATTGCATCTTGTATGTATTGATACTAAATCAATGTATTTTTTAACGGTCCTTTTATTCTTTAAAACATTCATCGAATTCCATTGCTTCGATCACGTTATTGAGTTCTTTATTTAAGTCCTTTTTCCAGCTAACCTTTCTTTGTAAAATTCTTAATTTAAGTTCTAATTTATGAAACCAAGCCATCATTTTACATTTCAAAATTATAATGAGTTAATTCGTTTGAACAAAAACATAAACAACATTCAAAAACAAAAAATAAACAATATATAAAAATACAAACAAACAAACAGACAAACAAACAAACAAATAAACAAACAGACAGACGACACACCAATACATTACAAACACACTCGTAAAGAGTCATTTAACACTTCAAATCTCATTGTACTGATAATAACACTATAAAATAAAAAAGTTATTACTAAACATAACGAAACATAACACTTACTTAATGATATTTATGAAAAAAAAAATAATGATGAGTTTAAAATATCGTAGTCTGCTATAAATTTTGAGTTTTGATATATCTTATAAATACATAGCGAAGAAAACAAATTGTTTGTACAGCATCATATCAACCGTTCATACAAAACTAAATTGTTTTTGACGATATGTATTAAAAACGAAAGCTTCTTAAAAAAATATGCACATCCGGGCCCTAACGGATGGGGGGGTGTAGGGTTGCACCACCACCGGACCAGAAAAAGAAAAAATACGGAAGATCCGGTGTCAAATATAGTAATAAAGTGAACATAAACTATCTCCAACTTGATAATTATTATAAACATTTGCCCAACCAAAAAGAGAATAGATGGGAATTAGCAGAAAACAAGGTCAGGTCACCAACTTTAGAGTTTAAAAATATCAGTCTTGCGGATTTAATGACGGATCTGGAATTTTGTCAGATCCGTCACTATATCCGGAAAACTGAATGACAATAATATAAATAATAATAATGATATTATTACTTATTGTAAATTGTGATTAGTTAGGGTTATATTAAAAAACACGACTGATTTGCTGGTTTTGCTTCTTGATTTTAAGAAACTGATTGATTTATTGATTGATTCATTGATTGATTCATTGATTGATTCATTAATTAATTAATTCATTCATTCATTCATTCATTAATTCATCAATTCATTGAATTGAATGGATGACCGATGCTTTAACGTTGTGTTAGATTAGATTAAACTGACTGAGTATTAATAGTGAGGATTTAAAAAGATGAAAAACAAAAATAAAAATTTATCAATTATTATTCTTACAAAATATATTCGCTATAAATAATGAAATAAATCTACAACTAAAACAAACAAACAGACTACAACAGATGATAATTGTTTGATAATCTCAACAAAATGATCAGACTTGCTGCAACAAATTATTATTGTTGTTGTTGTTATTATTGTTATGAAGGAGTGGATGCTGATGTTGCTGAAGATGTTGCTGTTGCAGAAGGAACTGTTGCTGTTGTTGCTGCAACTGGTTTTTTTGTTTTTGAGACGACGAAAGCGACGAGGCCGATGATGGGATGTGATGGTACTGATTGGTTGACAGGTGTGGCGGGTTGTACTGGTGCTGCGGGGTGAACTTGCTGGCGTGTGGTTGCTCGTTTGAGGAGTACGATGCCTCCTGCAACGATGGAGTGTTTAGGGGGCGGTAACAGGGCAGGCCCTCAACGTGGGTCGGTGAGGGGTTAATTTCGGATGGGGCGACCATTTGGTTGTTGTCAGGATTGTTGTTGTTACTGTTGTAATAGTAGTTTGGATACTGTCTGGCCATTTGCTGTTGTTGCTGCTGATAATGGTAATAATCATCCGTGCAGTGTTGTTGGTTTTGTTGCTGAAGGAATAATTGTTGTTGCGAGTTCAATTGCTGTTGTGGTGGCAGTGGCGGCTTTTGAAACTTCTGTGGCTGTTGATCCTGTGAAAAATGCGTCATTAAATTTGGCGAGCAGTTCGTGGCAGCTGGCATGCCTGACCCGGGACGAATGGAGGTTGAACTTTGACCTATGCACGTGACTATGGGTTTTCCAGAAGGGTAGGTTGCTTCATGCGTCGATGAGGATGAAATTTTCTTGCAACAAAGGACGAGGATGATGATGAAGACGATGACGCCGACGACAAGAGTGGCAATGATTCCGAGAACGAAGTGGGAGCCAGGATTCAACATGTCGGACATGGACTGCCAGTCACTGCCTTCACCTTTGTCAGTGTCAAAGTTTATTGGGTGATCAGTTTGTGATTTATTTGGTGGTAATTATTCTATCAGTGAACGTGTTCAATTATAACTAATGCAAAACGTATCATTAAAAAATTTTGAAAAAACCGTCATAAAAACTAAAATGTTTCCAATTTAAAAACCAAAAATGCATTTGCTACACTAATACTGACTCTATCTTTCATAAAAGAAACACGATTTCGCCAAAAAGTAATTTCGAAAAAAATATAAAATTTTGAAAAATAAAATTTGCTCTACCGTGAAGTCCACTAAGAAAAACAGTTTTCTGAAGTGGAGTACTTGCCAACGAGGGATCGACATGGAAGCAGATGTACATCCCGTAATCCGAGGGACGAACGGATGGGATGGTCAGACGGTTGATCACAACTCCTTGACCAATTTTTTCGAAAAATTTGGTTAAGTATAAAATTATTTGATTACTACATTCAATTATCGTTCATAATATGATAATTAAAAAATGATAATTATTATCATCAAATTTAACACTTTTAATAAACCCGTGTTTGTTTGCAAATATAACCTCAGGCTAAAATTATTTTTCAATTTAAGTTATACTATTTATTAAAATGTAACAAAATTTCTTGTTCCTTAATCTACGAAGAAATAATAAAAATAAAAATAGTTGTTTAGAATCACAATTAACAATTTCTTCTTAATTTCTTAGAATTATCAACAACAGACACACGTGCAAATATGTATGCATTCAAGAATTGGGATTTTTCCGCATTCAAACCCAGTAAAACTACAACATCTACAACACCAGCGCCAGGCACCTTAACCATTACACTATCCACTGAAACATCCATAATATTTTAGAAAGTTTTAAATTAGTAATTAAAAAAAAAGAAAAAAGAAAATTGTAACTTTCTGTCGGGTGTTGAAATGTCTCTCCCCTTAAGAATAGGTACTGCTGGTTGCGGAAAGTGATTGTTCCTTCTGCCTCGTCTCCGTTTGAGGACGTTGTCAACGGCTTGCCCCACTGATTTTTATTTAATTTTTTTCAATTTTGTTTCATTTTATTCATTATTTGATGAGGAAATTTACTGATTTTTATGACTAAAATTACATCATGTTATTTAGTTCGCCAATCTGAATTTTTTGTTAATTAAAAACTCAAATATCCGAAAACTGAAATTGAAATTTTAATAGTTGTGAAAATTCTAAAAAATAGATCATGTGATAAGAGTAAAATTATCAATAAATAATAATAAAAACTACATATTAAAAAAAAATAATAATATTTTTTATGGGGAAAGTTCCTCCACTCAGCAGAAACCAACCTGTAAATCGTGTGGCTTGACGTTTGCAGCGGCACATTCAAAGGAGGCAGACTGTCCCACATCAGCTGAAACATTCTTCATGTAACTATCAAGAAAGTATGGTACTATTTCGCCACTATCTGTTCAATGAATTTGAAAAAATTAACATTTGAAAAAAAAATCTACACTAAATTATTATTGCCTTATTGTTTTATTGCAATTCTTTTACAATTTTAGTGAAGTTTTTAGATTAAAATAATTCATTAAAACCATATTGACCTTCGACGGTTAGCGTATAATTGAAATTAGTTTTGCCGGCAACATTCCAAAGCTGGCACATATAGACACCAGAGTCTGTGACTTTAGCGTGTTTGATGACCAGCTTGTTGGTCTCGTTCCTCAGACCGGCCAACATCTGACTGAGTTCTTTCTCGCTGAGTTGGACGTTGTTTTTGAACCAGGTGATGGAAGGGGTAGGTCGGCCCGTCCCGTCACACGACAGGGCCACTCTCTCTCCCGATTGCACCGTTACGAAGCCTGTTTCGGAGATTTCGCTCAAGAACCACGGTTTGACTGGTTGCCAAGTTAAATTTTTATTATATTTTGAATTTTAGGTATACATATACTTATTAATGCATGTTTTTATATGAATGAAAAAACTACTTTCTCACTTTCTCTGCTTATTTATTCTATATAATTATTTTTAAATATGCACTCGTTAACTTATTAATCAGTCTCCCATTTTATGAAAATAATCAAAATTTCAAAAAATGTTAAAAAATATTTCAAAATAACTCAGTGTAGTAGTTTTCATCAGGTGCGTTTGGTTTTAATTATAGCCGCTATTTAATGGCACATCTCTGAAATTAAGACTATCACATATCAGCGCGTGAGTAGGGCTTCTAAAGCTAAGCAAATGTGCACGTTGAACATGCACAGACTCTAAGGCGTTTGTGGCTTATTTGATACTAATTAGATGAGGTTGAAATAACTCGCCGACAGCTCTTTTTCCAAACATTTTAAAGTTGTAGTGATGGAAAAAACTGCTAATATATTTTATTATAAGATTTTACTTTTACTAGAATTTTAAAATGTAATAGATAAAGTTGGCAAATGAACAAAAAAAAAACAAGAAACCAACAGAAAATATTTTTCAAACTAAATTAGTTCAAAATAATTCACTATGAATTAAGATAAAATAAATAAAGTTAAAATGAAATTTAACAAATTTGATACTGAAAAATTATAAGTAATCAATCAGTAACTTACTATCCTTCCCCTTCAATTTTTCCAACGTTTTAATGGTGACGGATGATTTTTGAGGTGGGACCGTGTTGGGATCTGCAGTGGGATCAATTGTTTCTTTGAGTAATTTAAAGAGATTGACAATGACGTTAATATTCATAATTATCTTTTGTAAAACCTAGATTAATATAAAAGTTATAATAACACGTAAATTAACCAACATTTCGACTAATTCGGAAGCCAAACTAATTAAAACAGAAATAACTTATTCAACATGAACATAGAGCCAAGAAAATGAAAGACAAAAATTAACACACGCACGTGAAGAAAAACTCCGAATAAATTAAACAAAACGAAAAGCAAAAACGAAATTCCAATCCTACCATGAACGTAGAGTAAAAACTGCGCCCTTTCCGTTCCCCTCCCAGTAACAGTCTTACATTCATAGAATCCGGAATCTTCTTCCGTCATATTTAAGACGAAAAGATGTTTCCCGGTCATGTTGTAACTCTTTTCCCAATTCTGAATGGTCACTTTATCCTTCTCCCAGTTGTAATGGGGTGAGTCGTATTTCGAGAGCGAGCCCGCGGATATAGAGGGGCATGTTAGTTTGACCTGTGACCCGCTGCTGTGCACATGAGTTTTGTACGGTGGTTGGATTCTTTCGGCGTCTGTACGTGTGGATGGTTTTTAGGGTTTTTGTTTATCATAACCGTTGGATGATAAATTGTAACATTGTTTATTTATCATTTATTTATTCAATTTTATTTATTCATTAATTTTTAATTAAAAATTTATGATAGTTTACTAAAATGAATGTTGCTTTTATTCAAATTTATATTCATTTTTGCGGGTTCCACTGTTCATAATTATCATTTCAAATTGCTTGGTGATGACGTGATGATGAATTTTCAATTTAAAGACCAAAAATATGATTATAAGAATGACGACGCTTAATGAAGCAACGATGGTTATTAAAAGAATTCAAAATATAACCGTTGACGACCTCGATGATGTCGTAGAAATGATGATGACGACGACGATGAGGATGAAGTCATAATAACGATGACTACGATGATAATAATGACAACTAAATCATAAAAAAGCCACTAATAGTATTATCATAGCATCTACTTTTAAAGAACTGAACATAGCAGAGCAAAGACATCATCAACCTAGCATACAGCACTATCATGACATAAAATCCTTTATCACCATCACCTAATAACAACGTTAACGATGCTATGGGGCTGTCTAAAAAATTTTTTAAATTTGACCAGAAAAAAAAACTGAATTGTGAAACGTACGTCAAGTCGGATGGCGCTAATAAGGAGAAAAATTTTTCCATGTCAAGTTGGCTGGGATGAGAATATGAAACACGGTGCGAAATTTGAACCGTTGCTAATAAGATAGGTTGGTTTTTGTTAGATTTCAATTTAATTTTAATAAATACAAAAAGTCTTAAATTGAACTGCAGTAAAACATACACATGCATTCCACAGTGTGTAACTAAACCAATAAAAATACATGTCTAAACATATCTATACTGTATTATATAAAAACAATGATACAAACACAGTAGCAACAAAACATAAACATACATCGGAGTGAACAACCATGTAGACATAGATCAAACTAAACAGCAATGATTATAGAAATTCACATGAACAACAATGGTTTATTAACATCTTTATGAACAGCACCAGCAATGTTTTTAATGATTGACGTCATCACATCTAGCAACTGAGACACAATTGACATGAAAATTTATGCCAAAGATTGCAAAAAACAAAAATACGTAAATAAAAAAAGAGAACAGTTTCGTTTAAATTTTAAACCTTAAAACATAAAAAAAACATCAGCTGCAACCAAGAATGTTTTTGTAAGAAAATAGTTTTAACAGAAAAGTCAACATCGTCAACAACAACATCATCAACAAAGTCATCAACAACATTATCAACAGCAACATCAACAACACCAACATCATCAACAATATCATCAACAACAACATCATCAACAACAACATCATCAACAACAACATCGTCAACAAAGTCATCAACAACATCATCAACAGCAACATCAACAACAGCAACATCATCAACAAAATCATCATCAACAGTATCGTCAACAACAACATCATCAACAAAATCATCATCAACAACATCATCAACAACATCATTATTATCAACAACAACAGCAACAAGACCATCAATAACATTAGCAAAACATTGATCTAAATAAATATAAACATATACGTACGTTAACAAAACATGGCCAGTATTTTAAGAGATAAACATCGGCAGCGTACATCAATTAAACAAAATC